AGAGGACACTCAGAAACATACACGGCTTCCGCGGAAGCATACAGTGCAAGCTGCGGATTTCACGCGCTAAACACTATCAAACTGACAAGATCGTTCACTGTCTATAGCCGGCTACCCATTTTCACCTGGGTGAAGTAAGGAAAATGTGTGCAAAGTGCCTTTCCCAAGGACACAACGTCGGGCTCCTGACGGGAGTCCGAGAGCCTAACCACTAGGCCACCGAAGGCCCAGGAAGTTGTCTCACTAACAAAGCAATCCCTAATGTCCGGATCGGATACGGGACCAACTTTACTTTTTTTTTAAACAAGAAAATAACACACGCAAAATAGAAGGAAAAGAGATAAGAAGGATGGGCATTCTTCGTTGTAAATTTAAGAACTTGATCTCCCACGCGGATATTCAGGGGATGAATTTCTTTGATGCTCGTGTAATTCCCCATGTCCTTTATTCACAACATGACACTGAATAATAATCTTTATCGATGGAAATTAATACATTCACCCGTATGTGCGAGGTGTTATTACGCTCATGAATTTTAAAAAAGATTTCGCTCTATTCTCATGTTCAAGCTTTGCATATCAAAAGGAAATTATTCACCCTCATCACTTTCCTAACTCAACCCAGTGACAAAAATGGACAATGTGTAACCCACAGCAAAGCTGTATATTTGTTCAACCTATATTATTCTATTATGGAAATTTTTTGCAAACGTTATCGATAAACTTACCATTTATAATTAATGCTTTTTTACGAAAGTCTCCAATGTAAAATTAGCTTACTTTATGAGATGTCGGCCAGTGGCCCTAAACACTAAATGAAAGACCTACCTACCTACCTACCTACCTACCTACCTACCTACCTACCTACCTACCTACCTACCTACCTACCTTCCTTCCTACATGCCTACCAACTTACCTGCCTACCTACCTACGTATCTAACTACCTCCCTATCTCCCTACCTACCCACAAAGCCACCAACTTACCTACCTACCTACCGACCGACCGACTGACCTACCTACCTACCTATTTACCTACCTACCTACCTACCTACCTACCTACCTACCTACCTACCTACCTACCTACCTGCCTGCCTGCCTGTCTGTCTGCCTACCTATCTACCTACCTACTTACCAACCTACCTATCTATCTTTCTACCTACGTCGTTCTTTCTGAATTAGTGATAGCTCTTGTCCCGACGTCCTCAGACGATACAAAATTTCTCGCCTTCGAAATGATACCTAATGTATTTAGATGGATGCAGAAATTCAAGTCATCAGTGTCAGTTTATATTGTCATTACTATCTTCCTGTTAGCTTAAATGAACATCGCAAACAGAAAGGGATAGCTTACAGTGTAAGGAGACTGCCAGCCAGGTCAGGTCTAGGGGGAAATGCTTTCATATTTCTGCGTCAGTCTGGTAGGCTTACCAATATTCCAGTATTTAGCAGATATACACATACTTTGGACGCTGAACAATTTGATCAGTAGTTATTTCTAAAATAGTTCCCCCCCCCCCCCCTACTTGACAACACAAGTCTTTGTGTTTTCATGCCCACATCGATACAATTTAGATCATTTAGGAGGCAGGCTCCGACCCTGCCTGTCTGGACCAAACCAGGCAGAGAGTGATACAATCCACCCCCACCCTCTATCTATCTATCTATCTATCTATCTATCTATCTATCTATCTATCTATCTATCTATCTATCTATCTATCTATCTATCTATCTATCAGTCTATCTCCACCAAAAAAAGACTACGATGCCAGATAAAGTATTTTCCACATGGGAATCGAACTCGGGTCATCT